GATAGAAATTATTTATAAAAACTGGCTTTTCAAAATCCTCATTTTTCGTACTCATTTGTCGGAGAGAAGAATCATCAATAATTCAGAAATTTTAAATAATGATCTTCTTTTCTTTTCAAAACTTTTTATTATTTCTCTGATTAATTTATTTTTTATGACTAATCATTCTTGTTACATTGAAAGTTCATAATAAACTTATGATAATCTTTCTAAAAATACGATCCTTAAAAATATTGTGACACGTTTATTTAGTTATTAAATTATTGTATTTAGAATATAATTAATTTTAATTACATTTATTTTATTATAACATTTTTCTTTTCTATATTAATATTTTTTTTATATTTTTACATTATTCTTCATATTTTTCATATATTTTTCATATATTTATTTATATTCTTTGTATTAATTTTTTTTTAAACAATTGATTATTTAATATAATTCTATCAGTTATAATTCTATATATCTTTATTTTATCAGTAATATAGATTTCTTGGATATTTTATTTATACTTTGTGTAAGAGTTTTATAAAAGATGAGTAGGATCATTTAAAATCAGGAAAATATAAAAAAAGAAATAGAATTTCAGTAATCTACTAGAATGTAATAGTAAAATCGATAAAATAAAGGACACATGTCTGCGAATTAAAATAAATACGTTACTTAGAATTCACGAACTATCAAATTATATTATTTCAATATTATCTATTTTATGATATATTATGATATACATTGCAATTAAATATATATTTGAAAAATCAAAAAATTGTTAAAATTATAATAAACATTGGATATTCAAAAAGCGCAATTATATAGCAATGTCGAAATTTAATTTCGATATACAGAACTCAAAGTTCTCTTTCTTAAATTTTATTAAATAAGCAATTGACAATGTGAAAAATATAAAAGAAAAAAAATCTAAAATTAAAATAATCATTTCCACGAATTTCATAATAGAAAGACATATTCTCAACTATGGAAATAATTATTGAATATTTATATTATAGGTCATTTCAAGCACTTCGAAATCATAACATTTGAAAAAATGAAAAAATTCTAGAATAAAAAATGAAAAAATTCTAGAATAAATGTGAAAAAGAATGATATAAAATCAAGAAGAAATTTTATAAACGAATTCGATATAAAATTAAGAATAAAATAACTACGAAAAAAAAACAGTTCCCTTTTTTCCTTATTTTGAAGAAAATTGATAAAAGTAATATAATTAATGAATTAGTTTGATTTTTCATCCGTCATTTATTTCCTCACATCTACTTATATGAGTTATAATGTCAGTTCACTAATTATATTATTTTTCCCTAAAGAATACTCTCTTTTTCCAAAAAGAAAATTTTAGTTTAATAACTATACTACTTTCTTTTTACAGAAAAAAAGAATTTTCCTTTCCATCAATCCTACTGAGAACGATGCTATAGATAAATTTAATGCAAAATCGCAAAGTTATTGAAAGTTATTGGAATTGCGCAGATAAACTCAATACGAAATAGTATTGCTACAAAATAAAAAAAAAAAAAAAAAATTATAAATGGAACTCAAAGCATGTTGCAAGAAAAGTTAATTTTTATAGATGCATTTGAAAAATAAAAATAAAGAGATACAGAATTGGCAAGAGTTTATTTGTAGATATTGAAACACGGCGAATTCGATATAAAATCGTATAATAAAATCATTTTATAAAATCATTCAAGTATAATTGTAAAAATTGCTAGTATTAAATATTAGAGTTTAAAATAATTCGAATCAATTTTAATTCAAATTCAGTAATATGTATGTATAAATATGCTATTCTTTGTTAAAAATTTCTTTAGTGTATGTTTAATTTATTATAATCTATTATTTAATTTTTAATACCATTAATTAATTATCCTATTTTATCTTTTTTTTTTTTTTCATTTCAAGTATTATTAAATATAGAATTATAAATTTTGATCTGACAAATATTATTGCTTGATCATAGATATTTCTCTAAAAAATATTTTTTTCGATCAATTTATCAATTAACTTATTTTAATAAACTTAAAATATTTTACTAATATATCATTTTAAGCAATTTTTTTATATCGAAGATCAATTTTAATTTTCGAGTTATATATTAATAATATTTCAATTATTAGAATTGATTAAAAAAAAGTTAATTAATAAACTTATAATTTTTTTTCTTTTTAATTTTTCATAAACATCTCACTGAATTCAATATACAATATTGAAATAATTATAATATGTAACATAAAAAGTATACAATAAAATCAAGTTCAAATCATTATTATATTTATTGTTATTTTATTATTTATTGTTTTATATATATATATATATATTTATTATATATAATAATATGATTTTATTAATTATATTTAATATAGGAAACTATTTTTTATAAATCTTAATATATAATTTATTTATGTTATCATATAAGAATAATAATATAATGGATAATCTTTAGGAGATGTATAAGTATACAATTCTAGAGATGTAGGCTCAACATATGTATCTTCTGGTAATGATTCATATATTTTCGTTCCAAAAAGTGTACCTACTTCCCAATATGGAAAATCCTTCATTACGTCATCTTCTATATTTCGCAATCGCTTCATATGTTTTAACAGTCTGTAATTAAATAAAGAATCATATATATGATTTTTAAAAATGAATTATAATTATAATATATAGATTATTATAATTATAATTATATATATACATTAGAAATATATGTGAAATACCAAAATAATATATTTTAAAATAAAAATAATTTTAAAATTATTGTTTAAATTATTGTTAAAATTAATGTTTGGATGTTAATGGGATGATTCAAAATATTTTTGAAACTAAAATAATAGTAATAAATAAGAATAATCTAATAATAGTTTCTAATCTAATAACGTTAGATAAAATTGCTTTTTCAAAACATTTAAACACAAATAAAAATTCTACATACAGACACATATATGAGGATAAATATTTTTCTGAATATCAAGATATAAAAAATAAAAATTTATAAATATTATCTGTTGTTTTTAAGCATTTAAAACAAGTTTAATAGTTGAAAGAAAGAAAAAAATATTAAATAATCAATTATGACCAGAATATGATACATAATTATTTACTGTAAATATTAAGAAAAAAACAATAATAAAAGTTCAATTTATAGAAATAAACTTCAAATTCTTATTCAAATTAATTCAAATTAAAGAGAAATAACAAAAAAAATAACTCAAAATGATTAATATATAATTTGAATTAAAGTTTATATCTTAGTTTACAGAAATTTTTACAATAGAGAGAGAAAAAATTTACAAAATTATATTATTGAGTTATAAAAATAAAATACTAATAATATACATAATTAAAATAATAAATATAACAAATAATAAAATTTCTATAAAATATTTTTCTAAAAATAAATTATATAAAAACAATTATACTTACGTTCTATCTCTTTCTGCATATAAAATAGGAAGTGTAGCTAATTCTTGACTTTTTGCTTCAATAATATTTTGTTTATTTTCTTTCCAAGTTTGATAATAAAGAGGAAATCCAAATATATTAACAGCAAAAAATATTCCCATACTCAAACGGCCTAAAATTTTTTAATAAATAATTTATCAGCAAATTATTATTAGTCATATAATATTATTTTTAACAAATATATATTAAAAAATAAATAAAAATAACTTTAATATTAAATATTTTATCAAATATTTACTTCTTTTTTCTATCAAAATTACTATTATTAGTTTTTTCCTATTCTATTATTATATAAAAACTCATTATGAATAAATAGTAATAAATTAAATGGCTTATATATAATGGCTTATTAATTTCAATTTTCAACAAAATCAACAATTTTAACATATTATTTAAAAAACATTACATAGCAATAACATGTTAGATAATGAACGATATAGGTTATAGGTTAGCTTATACCTGTGAATATAGTACGTAGTTTAGTTCGTGCTATTTCAAAAGGAGCATATCCTCCTTTAGGAGGTAAATCTTGGGTAAATCCTTTTTTAGACGCAGACATTTCTGATAATTTAAATTTTTCGACAAATAAAAAATGACAAATTCACCGAAATGGATGGCATAACTTTTACCTTAAATGATCTCACATAATACTAAGATACTAGCACCACTAGTGGTTATTTTAAAAATTATTTTATATTGTCAGTAAGTATTTATTTAAATAGATTTTTAATTATTTCTTTTCTTATATTTATAATTCAAAAACATTATTTTGTAAATTATAAATTTATATAAATATTTACAGAATATTTATATATAATTAATAATGAAGAAATAAAATTTCAAATTAATGATTTTAAAATTAAATTAAGTAATTTTAATTTTTTTCTAATTTTTCTTTTTTATTTCTATTTTATTCTTATTAATTATTTATATAATTATGATTTTTAAATTACTAATTATATTTTATATTTAATATTTTTTTATATAAAATACTAATGTATTATATTATAAAATTTTAATTAATATATTTCTAAATTAAATATCTAATTAAATAATAAAAAATATATATTAAAATATTATATTTATTTAATATAATCTAATTTTATATAATATAGTTTTAGATATATTATGTTTATATATATATAATTAACTTGAAATAATATAGTAGTATAAATAGTACATTAATAATATATAATATAGATATATGAATATATTCATTAAATTATAATATTAAATTATATAACATTAAATTATAATAATTTTATTATATTTTCAAAAAAATATATTTAAATATATATCTCATACAAATTATATATAATCTTATAACATAGAATAATTTAAAGATAAAAGTTTAATAATTTATTTATCTTATTATCTACTGAGTACATATTATATAATATTAAATCTAATTATAACATAATATTATATAATATTAAATATAATATAATATTAAATATGAATTGCAACAAAATTTCATATAATAAAATAATAAATGACAAAAGATTAAGAGAAAAACAAAAAATTAAATATCATTTAATCACTTTTTTTATCACCGCTTGATTGAAGACATTTGCTATGTTCATCATTTAATCGATCATATTCTTTAGCAAGAGATTCAGCTTGTGATTTAATGGTTTCTTTATCTTTCTTTTCTTTTATAACCTGATCTTCTAATTCTTTATTTTTTGTTTGTAATTCTTTAATTTGACTTTTCCATTCTGCTATCTCTTCATTGTGAGCTTCATTAAAGTCATTCTGTGCATTTTCTGCTTTTTGTGATAGTAACTGTTTTGCTGTTGTAGTTGCAGATTGAGCTTGTCGCATAGCTGCTTCATTTTGTGCTAATAAAATAGCTTGTGCAGAAATTAAAGTAACAAGACGTCGTATAACAAGACTTAAAAATAATGCAAAACCACATATATAAAAGTTTCGTTGCGCTCTAAATAATCTCATATTACCTATATAAAATAATGTAATAACATTATAATTAAATTCTTGAAATAGATAAAATATTATGTATTATATAATAAAAATATAAATATACCTTGCATTTCAGTATCCAAATGATATTCTTTATGTTCAATATTTGTAGAATATTTTCGCATTTCTCTAATAGCATCCAATAAAAACAAAACTAATATTCCAAGTAAAAGTAAAAAAAAAAACGTTCCTTGATTAGTTAATCTTTTTAAAAATTTAGATTTAAAAAACCTTTGCCATGTTAAAGGTGAAATAATTGGTAGTAATAATAATAAAACTACTAAAATTTCAACATATAAAAATCCAGCTATTAAAGTCCATTGCAAACTCATGTTTTTTAGTTATTTTTATTTAATCTATTTTAATATCTAAAAAAATCACGAAAACATTATTATTATTTTATTTTTATTTTATTAAACATAACATAAAAAATAATATATGCATAACATAAAAAATTATATAATAGTAAAAATGTACGATTTAATTTTTATATATATTATATATATAATACTGAAATTTTTTTGCTTTCAATAAATATTATATATTTAAATAAAATTCAATAAAATTATATATTTTTTTCTTTTTTTTTTACAATATAATTAATAATTATATTACAATTTATCATATAATTATATTTCAAATGACTATATATAATAATAAAAAATAAAAGTAAAAATAATGGAATTAAATTTAAAAATAAATTTTATCTATTTAAAACAATTATTGCATCTATAAATACTATTCAAATCACAAGTAATATTTATACATTTTATGTTATTATTATATATTTATATATTTAATATAATAAAACATAAAAATAATTTTAATATATTTTAAAAATTAACTGACCTTTAATTGTGGATATATATCTTGATTTATGTCTAGGATTACCAAAATAATCGAGTAATTTATGAAGAATTGTGACAAGGACCTTTAAATTTTTTAATCAAAAAATCAATATATTGTGAATTTAGTAAACAATAAAGATTTACTTCATGTGAATTGGTGTTCATGAAATATTAAACCATCTGCTTATTAAAGTGCGCGAGAAATTGAAAACAACTATTTTTTTTTGTGCTGTGATAATTCTCATTATTATTCTATGAACACAATAATATTAACGTGGGTCGTCATTAGGCAACATTCTTTTGGAAAGCAAAAAACTTACGATACTTTCAAAATGTGATAAGATTTTATTATCTAAATTTAGATCGCTAGCACTGCTCGTTATACATTTTGGGTGCTGGCGTGTTTATAGAAACAGTAGACAAGCAGTCGTCGCAATTAATACATGTGTTATCATGGATGTACGTATATAAGCAAAATTCAATGTAACAACAATTTTTATTAATATTTCGAAAATTAATAAATATCTAAAGCCAAAAGTTTATATTACAGTCTACCTCCTCTCCCTATTACTCTTCTTAAATTTCAAGTCCATCAGTTACCAGTGCTTCGGAAATAAAGCAAATCTGCGTAATTATTTTTTGTAATAAATAATTATATTATTAAGTATTCTATTATTTTTATTTAAAATTATTTAAATTATATGTTTATTTAAATTATATGTTTAAAGAGAAATTGATTTTTATATTTATAATTCATATACTTATAACAAGAAATTTTAATATTACGAGAGAAATTGTAAACTTACCTTTATGATAAAATTTTTCTGCCATATGATATGTGTAGAAGTTATATATTTTCTACTTTAGAATACATTTAAATATTGTGTAGTATATAATAACATAATAGAAGAGTAATCTTTGATATGTAAGTGTAATATTTTTTATTATGTATTTAAAAACAATTATTTTTTTAAATGTTTTAAATATTCTAATCATAATAAATAAAACATTAAATTTAATTGATATTGTTTTAAAATTTTTAAATTTTCATATTATAATAATTTTATTACTTACTAATCTAATTAATAATTTTATTACTAACCTTATTAACAAAAACTTTTAGATAGTTCCTACATTGATATAGTAATCAAATAAGAATATAGAAATAATATGATA